CATACTCAGCTGGCTCCAAGGCAGAGCGGCACATGGCAGAGAACGAATAGTTCACAGTGGCGGGAGACAGCAAAAGCACAAGAGAGAAGCCATGGAGCCAAAGCCTCCTGCAGTGCTTCCGGGGCAGAGCCACCCGAGCTCTGGAGCACACAACTTGCCACAGATCGCTGGGGATGCGGGACACGGAACTACAGGACTCAGTGCTGCCCTGCTGGGTCCTGGGCTCGCTCTGGTCCTACTCCTTTGTATCCCACTCCTAATTTCTGGAATGGCCATGCTTATCTCTGCCACTGCATGCTGGGAGTGTTGGCTTTTCATTTGCACAGAGGCGCACAGCCAGGAGTCTGTCTTGCATCCTGATGGAGACTTGGGATGTGGGCTTTTCAGTAAGGCCAAAACTGTTAGGACTGTGGCAACTCTTAGAGATGGACTAAATGTCTTTTGCATAAAGGGATGTACACAAGGCTTAAGCAGAGACAGCCAGACACAAACCTCAACCTACCAAGATGCTGGGACCACAGGTTCTCACTGCCACCCAGCAGCTCCAAACACTTTTCACTTCATTTTTTGGAGGAGTCTAGCTGTGCTACTAAGCTGGTGCTGAGCTCTTGGGCTCCAGGGATCTCCCTGTCTCAGCCTCCTGAAGAGCTCTGACCACCAGCACGTGCCCCTGCACCCAGCTTTGCTGAGTGTTTTAAGAGTCACTTACTCACCAAAACACATACAGTACACATGGGAAAAGGAAACTCAGGCGCACGCAGGCCCAGCCGTGGCCAAGACTCAGGCAAGGAGCAATGCCTCACCTGGTGTAAATGCCATCCACGATGCCAATGGTCGCCTCCTCTGCAGGAACATAGGAGCCCACCTGGGCCATGAGCGTGATCAGGGCCACCTGCTTGATGTAGGAGCTCTTCCCACCCATGTTGGGGCCAGTGACGATCATGACTCTCTCTGAGTCCTCCTGGAAGTAAACAACAAGGTCACACACAGCGTCCGGAGGATGATGGAACCCGTACACCTCTTCCCGGAAGCGAAATCCACAAGCAAAGCTCAGCCTTGTGGCGGTGCCTGACCATCCGACCTGCGTGACCAGAGCTTCCAGGCTGATGGCGGGCAGGAAGGAGGTCTGCGAGCCAGGCGCAGGGTCCACACTGCTCCAGCGCAGGCCTGACGGTGGCTGCACTGACATGATGACCTCATGAGAGAACCATCACAACAGTGGGCTGGGCACTGCATGCAGGCAGGCGGGGGGAGAGGGGGGCACCAGGCTGGCACCCCAGTGACCACGGCCTTCCACCAGGCCTTGCTGCCCCTCCTTGTGACCATGGGGAGCCCAGAGCCCTCTGCAAACACAGCATGAGCTGAACGTTCGTGACTTTGGGGGCAGTCAGGGAGGACCTCGCTGTCCTTGGCTGGCCTGTGCTGCCACAGAGCAGATTCTTGCAGACACGGCCTGGAGAGTGTACTGGAGGCCCTGGGCTGAAGCTGCTCAGCTTCCATGGACTGTCCTCAGACCTGTCCGCAGCCAGCTTCAGACTGCCTGTGTTTAAGGTCTATCTACCACCCATCTACCTCATAGCACCAGCACCACATACCTCTGAGCCAGCCACAGAGACCGGGCGTGGTGGTGCACACCTGTAATACCAGTGCTGGGGAGGCTGAAAACAGAAGGATCACTACGAGTCCGAGCTTTGTAGTGAGAATCTCTACCCAATACATAAAAATAAATAAATAATATAAAAATAAAAATTGTGCAGCCAGGGATGTAGCTGAGTAGCACAATGCCTGCCTGGCAAGTACAAGGTCCTAAGCTCAATTCCCGGTACAAAAAAAAGTATTATATAATTTATCAGAGAATCAGAAGAAATTAAATGCTTAGGTGTAAGCCCAAGCAAACGAGTAAAACCTATGCATAGAAAACTATAAGACTATAGTGAGAAAGAAGAGCAAGTTAAAGGAGGAGGTGAACCCTGGCCAGGAGGCGGTAGTGCCGTCCGGCTCAGGACATGAAGATGTGGGGACCCACAGGCAGGCTGCACACACACAGCTCCTGGTTTCTGAAAGGGTGATGCTGGGCTCAGAGGCGGAAAGTCACCTTTCAAATGGTGCTAGCTCAAAGGACATTCACATAAAACATAAAAAATCTCATATCACAAACAAAACTCAAGTTCAGGTCGATTCTAGGTTTGAAACACAGGAAAACAGTAAGGCTGCTGGACTATGACACATGACCTTGGGGCAGGCGACATTTCTCACACATCTCAAGCCACAAGGAAGAGACTGAAAACTGGAGTGTGTTATATACATAAAGTCCTAGTCTCTAAAAGATAGCATGCAATTCAGGACATACGCATTACGTGTTTCCCAGTGACTCACCTTCAGGATACACAA